TAGGATGTGCTGCCACGTCGGTAATGCGACGATATGATGCTGGGGAGGGGATCGATCGCCCTCTCCCCATTGAAATCGCACTGTATTTGCTGTTTGTTTTTTTAAAAAATAGGATAAGTGTTCCATGGTCCATAAGATGATAGGATGTGCTGCCAAATCGGTAATGCCACAATATGATGTTGGGGAGGGGATTGATCGCCCTCTCCCCATTGAAATCGTACTGTATTTGCTGCTTTTGATTTTTCGAAAAATAGGATAAATGGTCCACGGTCCATAGGATGATAGGATGTGCTGCCACGTCAGTAATGCCACGATATGATGCTGGGGAGGGGATCTATCGCCCTCTCCCCATTGAAATCGCACTGTATTTGCTGCTTTTTTTTTTTTGAAAAATAGGATAAATGGTCCATGGTCCATAGGATGATAGGATGTGCTGCCACGTCGGTAATGCCACGATGGAATGCTGAGGAAGGGATCGATCTCCCTCTCCCCATTGCAATCGCAATGGAAAAAGAACGGGTCGTGCCATTGATGGGGGTCCAGCGTTTGTCAAACACTGGACCCTCCAAAAGCACGGCCCGTAGGCGGGGGCGCTGGACCCCCCCGCCTACAGGCCGAGGCATTTGCGGGGTCCAGCGTTCCCGCCCACCAGCCGTACAATTGTTGTGGGTCCAGCGTTTCACGAACGCTGGACCCCTCCAAAAGCACGGCCCGTGGGCGGGGGTCCAGCGTTTGACAAACGCTGGACCCCCGCCCACGGGCCGTACTTTTGGAGGGGTCCTACGTTTGTTAAGCGCTAGACCCCCGCCAATGCCTCGGCCGGTAGGCGGGGGGGTCCAGCGTTTGTCAAACGCTGGACCCCCGTCCACCGGTCGTGCAATTGTTGTGGGTTCAACGTTTCACGAACGCTGGACCCCTCTAAAAGCACGGCCCGTGGGTGGGGGTCCAGCGTTTGACAAGCGCTGGACCCCCGCCCACGGGCCGTACTTTTGGAGGGGTCCACCGTTTGTCAAGCGCTAGACCCCCCGCCAATGCCTCGGCCAGTAGGCGGGGGGTCCAACGTTTGTCAAACGCTGGACCCCCACCCACGGACCGTGCTATTGGAGGGTCCAGCGTTTGACAAACGCTGGACCCCCACCAATGGCACGGCCCGTGGGCGGGGGTCCTGCGTTTGTTGAACGCTGGACCCCCCGCCTACCGGCGGAGGCATTGGCGAGTTTCTAGCGTTTGTCAAACACTGTACCCCCGCCAATGGCTCGGCTGGCAGGCGTGGGTCCAGTGTTTGTGAAACGCTGGACCCCCGCGCACCTGCCCCGCCATTGGTGGGGGTTCAGCGTCTGACAAACGCTGGACCCCTCCAAAAGCACGGTCCGTGGGCGGGGGGGGGTCCAGCGTTTGTCAAACGCTGGACCCGTGCCCGCCGGTTGGGTCGAGGGCTGGGATCAATCGTTTGAACATGCCAACCAAATGCCAATAGCAACGGTTGGTAGGTCGGAGTCCAGCGTTTCACAAACGCTGGAGCCCCGCATACCGGCTTGTGCAACGTGGGGGTCCGGCGTTCTACAAAAGCCCTACTTCTGATTACCAACCTCCTCTTTTTCTTATGGATATCTCCTCCAGGTAGAGGTCGTAAGGGTCCGAATGATGCGGATAAGAGGTACAAGAACAGGTCGAAATTGTATCACGACAAGCTGTGGGCTCTCGACTGGGTCGGTGTGGCCGGCGAGGCCGGGTGCGGTGCTGTTGTGTTTTTGACGGAGGACGAAAGGGCGACCTGGTACTGTTGTAGTGGCATCACCAGGTCTGAAATCGACAAGGGCACGGCGGAGAAGGGCAAGGTCGACGAGCGAGACTTGAGGAAGTTCTTCCTCACTTCGGTGTACGATGAACAGGGTACCGACTGGGTCAAAACTGTCCACAAGGTCAGCCTCGACCTCGCTCTGTTCAAGGGGTATGGTCAGAAGGCATTCGCTATGAAAGCCTTCGGCAGCAAGCGAGATAGGAATGCGTTGAGGATGCTCTTACCTATTGAATTCCTCAGCAAGACCAATGGTTATAAGAAAAGTGGTCAATTCTCGACGGTCGCCGCTGGTCACCAACTCACATTACCTTTTGTCCCGTTCGACGCTCCTGACGAAAGTCTCGTAGGCTTATCAGCGTGCTCTAGCGATCGCCGACAGGTTGTGTGGACACAACAACAACCTGTCGGCGGGAAGGAGACAATTATTTCTTACCAGAGGCGGTTGGCCGGTGGGTCATCGAGAAACATTCCAAAGAAGAAGGTGGTCGCCGGACCTCCTTCGAATCTTCCGGTGAGCTCGCATGCTAGTGCCAGCTCACGCTCGTGGGACACCTCTCAACGTCGAATGGACGAGGAGTCAGACGAAGAGACGGAGGATGATGCACGGGTTCGGCAAGTGCGTTCCCGGTTGATAGCGACGCCAGGGCACATCCAGGGCGAAGGCTCTTGCGATGTGAATGAGAGGCGACAAAGTGGTGGAGGTGCTGAAGCTCGGGTGGGGGACGATGGAGAACACGACGAGGATGAAGGGGAGTGTGGTTGTGGCGAGTGGCGAGAATACATTCGAGGAACGGTTGACCATATGGAGTGGGAAAAGGATGTGGTTAGCGGTGGGGTGAGCTGTGGCAGTGTCGGTGGTTCAGAAATGGAAGACGAGGAATTGGAAGACGAAGGAGGAGATGCCGGTGTTTCCGCGGGGCTAACTTCCAAGGGGAAGGGAAAACGCACAGCGCAATCGTCGTCGACGCCAGTTGCGCCTAAGAAGCAGGCTCAAAGGAAAGCTGTGGACGAAGCTCGGGTCGCCTTGGATGCATCTCAAGGGAAGCTTGGTGAAGCCGATGTGAAATGCAAATCAAGTGCTCGGGTTCGCAAAACGTCACAACCCAAGAGGCCCGTGCAGCCATCAAGGCGCCAGAAATCGGACGACTCCAGCGACGATGCTGAAGGGGTGGCCCCTCGATTGCTCTCCCTCCCTGACGACGACGAGCAGGAGACGAAGAAACCCAGTGCGGTCAATATGACGCAGTGCTTCTTCCTCGAGTACGACGACGACGACAAAAAGAGAAGAGACCCGCCGAGGTTGGTCATTGACGTCGTGCAGATTCTTCCAATTCCGGTGGGAGATATTGCCTTCAACCAGCGATCGCTGAACCCGACCATCGTTGCAAGCATCGAAGCGGCAATCGATGCATCAACTCGTCCAAGGTCAGAGGATGATCCGGCTCCGTGGGATCCACCGGAGTTGGTGTTGGCTCCGATTACGCCATCAATGGACGAGAAGAGCCAAGGGATACGCGTCCTTCCACAGGACTTCAATCCCGATAGGGCAGATGGGTATTTCTATTACCCAGTTGCCGGTCAACATACTTCTGAAGCTATGAAAAGAGCAGTGGCGAAAAAATCTGCAACAGTGGAGGTGTTCGGCTTTCGGAATTATGATCGTGTGCGGATCATTTATTTCGACGACGACCATACGAACGGGCACGTGTATGTTTCGACATACGACAACACGAGAGCTGACCGTGCTATGTTGCCGTCGTTCCACCAAGCCTGCAAGGACATCAAAGGATTTTGGGACTCGAAGAAACGGATCGGCCCTGTGGGGAACGTGTCCAAAGGGGATCCCACCGGTTTGACGCACCAGGAAGAGTGGAGGAAATTTTTTAGGGCGTGCATGGGGAAGTCATGTGAGAAATCACTGTGGACCGAGTGTTTGGCTCCGAAGTGGCAACAGGACTGGACGAGCAAAATGAGGGGATACATGAATGTCGCCACATGCAGGGACAGGATATGGACATTGGTAAAGGAGTTTTTTTGTGAAGTTTGAAGCGGGGGAGTTGCCGCTATACGACCACAAATGCCCAAAGGACTTGCCCGGGAAGCAGGAAGGTCGGGTGCCGGGCCAATTCACTGAAGAGGTGCAGGGGAAGAAGGAGGTGTTCCATTGCATACCGGCTAGGGACGGGGGACCAAACGCTACGGTGTCCTTCAAAGATCTCGTTCCGTCAAACTTCAAATGTTTTATAGATATGACGACACGAGAGAAGGAAATTGCATTGCGGTTGATGATAAATAAGAAAGTCATCGCCACTACTAGACTAGTTCCTCCTTGGAAGTTGAACATGGCCAACCTCCTCGACATCATAATGCGCGAGAGATACATGATGCATCTGTTCAACTACATCGTCTTCAAATCGGAGAACAGAGAGGCGAGAGAATGGAAGGACGGGAACTTCTTCGACTATGAAAAAGTGGAGCAAAGGTTTGGTGTGAGGGCAGCCGAATGGGATGAGGAAAGGGATAGGATCCCTTTGGAATACGTCCGAAGGGTTCCAAAAAGACTCAGCGGAGAGCAAGAGGAAAAATGTCTGAAAGGAGCTGGCCTGAAGGCCACGGAGGCATTGTATAGGGACGCGCCTTTCCACTTCAAGTACTTCGTATACCATGCAATTGGAAGAGTGGAGTTGCTGACAGCTGAGTTGCGACGGTTGAAGAACACTGTGCTTAATCTGAGTTGGGAAAAGAAACAACGACAGTCGTTATTGCTACCGGTCAACATGCACCCCAAGGAGTTGCTGCCCGCGGCCGACGAAATTGTGACTGCGGCCATAAACTTGAATTGCAAGGCGGCTATCCTCGATCTCGCCAACCCGAAGGAGTGCCTTGCATGGTTGCCAACCGATTTTGATGCTTCGCACAAAACGATGACGAAATTGTGCGGTAATAATTAAATTTTGATTGTTTTTGCCCCGCAAAAACAACATAAGATCATCATGAAGAAGCTTTACAACTGGGACGATGTGGAGGTGATACCTGGGACTTGGAAGCGTTATATCGCGGTCGGGACGACTGTCAGCAAGTACGGAAACTGGCAAGTCGATTATAAGGACACGATGACGATCGTCCTGCATGCCGAGGGCGGTGACCTCAAGAAGGTCACGAGGGCCCCTAAATTGGAGGCGGAGATAGTGGAACTAAACGTTGAGGAGGAGCACTTCAAGAGGTGCACAGCGAGGCATGACGGCGAGAAAGAAAACGAACGAGAGGTATATGGGCGGTGGGAACGACATCCCAAACGGTTACAGAAGTTGTGTATTTCATTTATGCACGAGGATCAGGGGGTGATTCTTATCGGGAAGCCGCATGCAGGACTTGTGTGGGAACTTCTGCGCGCTGACTATCATGTTTTCGCATGCGACTCGTCGTCCAAATATATTTCGTACTTGACGAAGTCCATCGAAATTCTTGGGAAGGACGTGAAAAACGATTGCACGGTTCAGAGACGGTTAGACTGCGCACCGTCCGGACAGGGACATGTACCATAAGTTGGGTAAAAAAAGAAACAAGATGTGGGAATATCTGTTCCAAGGCCAACCCAAGTCGCCATTCGAGCATGACTACATAGTTCGCAAAGCGATGGCACATGAAGCGTATGGTGGCTACGATAAAGCGCAGGTGGGTGCGTTTGCGATGTTCGTGGCGAGATGTGAACAAATGAAGTTCGCAGCAAATCAGGCAATGCTGATGTACGAAGAGTACATCAACATTGCCAAAACAACCGATGCATGGAATCCGATCGAGAGCGACGAGGAGACCGAAACATCGAACCTCGAAATCGAAGAGCGAGTGAAACGTTTGCGAGAGGGAATGCAAAGTGTGTCTGCATGTAGCGTGCCGAACGAGAATCCAGAAGAAGGTCGCACAAAATCGGGAGGTGAAAGCAGTCCGACGCATGACGTGACCGACAGGGCAAGTTCCGTTGAACAGATGCAAATGGATTCGCCTACGCCCCTCAGAGGACTTGAGAATGCATTGATTCATGGCAATCGTCACGGGTTCCATGAGAGGCCTCGCACTTTCAAGGAAACACGGAACACAACATGCTGGCAGACGCCGATGAGGATGACTTGGCGGTTCCAGATGCCCTTCCGAGGCTGATGCCCGATGATGATATTCCCGATCGCATTGTGCAGGTCAGCGAACGGTCGTACTTTATTGAAGACAAGGTGCCAGAAACGACGTCCGAGAAGTGGGGGCATCACATTTTGTGGCATACAGACGTATTTGAGCCATGCATTTTCAAGGGGGAGTGGATGATGGCACTGCATCTAACATCAGGATGGAAAGTCAAACCGAGAGTGGCAGAAGTACTGTGGCTGAAAGTGACGAAGAGCGAAATCGTCATCCGTGTCAGGCGTGAAAACGACGGAACGGACGAGGCAAATATTGAGGAGAAGGCTCAATTGATATTCAATTCTCTGCACTCCAACAATCGGCTGGAATATAAACACAAGTTCTATGACTTGTCGTCAAGCCGGTCATACAAGACCGTCAATTGGAAGATTGAACTTCATCCTGCGTGCCAAGACATTGAGACATTCCAGTTGGGATGCTCACAACTTAGGGGGCAGTCGACGACGCACTTGGCTGCCAGTGTTGGGAAAGCGATGAGTCAAACCAATGTCAAGATAATGGGGGTGGACAAGGGAACACGGAATGTCGAGAAAGATCCTTCGAACGTCGCATCGTACGGGCCTCCTTTAATAACTCAGGTGAAAAACAAGAGTGCATCGCAGATGGAGAGCCCCACTTCTTCCACGAACATGACGGTTTCAGATGGAATGCAACAAGTGGGTATGCAGAACGTGCGAGTGAGGTGCAAAAAGATTCCGATGAGATGATGAAACTGTTGGATGAGGCGGAAAAGGAAGAGGAAGCTTGAGGGATCAACCACGTCCCAGACGGTGATTAATTGTATATCGTTAAGCGATGAAGGGGTAGACGTACATGTAGAGGGGCGCGATGATAATGAGGATGCAATGGACAATGTCGATGAACAGAAGGTAGTGGATGACGGAGGTCAACCTGCGAGACGATCCACAAGAGAAATAAAGAAAAAACACCCGATTAATGTGTAGATATATGCAGAGGCTGAGTTCGGGTTGGCGTGACACTCTGTGTATGTGTGTGAGTGCTTGTACGCAACTCAGATAAATATTTTCGGCGGGAGACGTGTGATATAATAATTGATTCCACAGTGAATTGGATAGGACATCAGATAACAGTGTCAATCATGATACTTTTTTTTTTTTTTTTTTTTTTTCTCTCTCTCTCTTTTTCTTTCTATCTATCTATCTATCTATCTATCTATCTATCTATCTTTATCTCTATCTCTATCTATCTATCTCTATCTATCTATCTCTATCTATCTATCTCTATTTCTCGATCGACTTATCGATCGATGAATCTAACGAAAGTGTGATTAATAGCGAGGAATGTCAGAAATATACGTGCACATTATCATAAAACACTGGTAATGCGGCCGATGAATATAATGAAGAGATATCATTGGTAAAGGAGTTTTTTTGAAAACTCGTTCGTTGAAGGTAACTCCTAGTTAATGCGGTTGATGAATATGATGGAAGTGCATGAAAGAAAATAATGGAGTGTACTGGTTTCAACTACATAAATTACTAGTTCTAATAAGCACCCCGCTCTTTTTACTAGTTCTAATAAGCACCTCGTTTTTTTAAGGTAACCCTTACTATGCATTACTACAACAAATTGAATGCAATGAACATGACTAGAAATTGACGTATTGAAACATGAGATCACATAAAGACATGGCGCGTTGTCATGTGCAGCGCAAACGACAGTGGAGGATAACCGGAGGTGCAAAAATTGATGGACCGTCCACTTGGCAACACCGAATTTGACGGAGAGAGAGATGGAGACCCTCACGCGATTGCGAGTGAAACTTGGGGATAGCAACGTCATAACAAATTCATTCAACGAAGACACAAAAGAAGAATTAACAATGACAGTCAACGATTTTAGCTTGCTAATGATAGAAAAAAAGTGGTTGAACGAGCAAATAGTTAATTTTTATCTTAACCTTGTCCGAATGGACAATGAGTGTCGTGTGAAGCACCATAATTGCGATTCGAAGAACGAAAACGTCGTTAGAACAGGAAAGGGGCGCATTCCTACAATAGCAGTTTTAAGCTCATTTTTTTTCGCAAAACTATTTGATAGCGATTTGAAGTTCAAGTACGAAAAGGTTCGAAGCTGGTTCACAGAGGTCATCATTAGCGACATGGATTTGATCATTGCACCTTTTCACGTCGCGCACAACCAACATTGGACACTCGTAGTGATAGACCTTAGGCGTATGAAATTTGAGTACTACGATTCGCTGACGCCGGATGTTGAACTCGCGGCGAAGGTGACAGGGGGGTTCGCAAGATTTTTGTACATGAGGTCGGTCGAACAAGGTCAAGAAATTGACACGAAAAACTTCAACCATATATGGCAAGTGGAAGGCATTCCAAAGCAGCGCGACTTC